TCTCACCATGTACCAGGTGCCCAGGATGATGGTGCCGGTGCGCACATGGCAGCAGCCACAGCACCGGGTGCTGTAGAAGCGGTCACGACTCCGCTTGAACGTCATGGCGGCAGTGCGCAGCTCCAACCGCCGGACCCGCCACCCGCCCTCTCCAAGCAGTTCCCGACACCGAACACCGTAAAACCCCCGGCGCACGTCACCGCCGCCCTGACCAATCAACCGCCGAGAGAGTGTCGTGGGACGGGCCTTTGTTGCCACGGTGACAGGTGATTGACAGCACCGCTGACCAATCACAGTAGCTCTGGTACGCTCCGCATTCACCTGCGGCGGCGGGGGCCGCACCTGAGGTGGGGGTGGTGCTCTTTCCGCCATGTTGGGCTTTGCCCGCCTCTGCCGCCGGCCCTCAGGCGGGTCTGGCGGGGAAAAGTCATGCCCTGCCCCGCTCTGGTCGCCTGGCGCACGGGGAGCAGCTCGCCGGGCGTTCGGAGAGCCGGAGCTTGGCAGCCGGGGCGGCAGCGAAAAACCTGTGGGGAAAGCTGCGTTGTCTAGAGACATTCCCGTGTGCTTAGCGCGGGTGAGAGACGGCTCGAATTCTCAGTTCTAAGCCCCCGAGTTCAGGAGGGACATGGAAGTTGTAGAGAATGTCTAGAAAAGGGCAACAGAGCTGGTGAAGCGGCTGGAGCAGAAGGAGGAGCGGCTTAGGGTGTTCTGCCTGGAGAAAAGAAAGCTCAGAGAGAATCTTACCGCTCTGTACAACTCCTGAAAGGAGGCTGTAGCCGGGGGGGGTCGGCCTGTTCTGCCCCTTACCAGGCAGCTGGGAACAACGTTAGAGGACACGGCCTCAAGCTGCGGCAGGGAGGTTTAGACTGGACATCAGGAGGAATTTCTTCACTGAAAGGGTGATTAGATGTTGGAACAGAAGTCAGTGTTCCTGGAGGAGTTTAAAGAAAGGCTGGACGTGGCACTTAGTGCCATGGCCTGTTTGACATGGTGTTAGGTCATGGTTTGGATTCGATGATCTCACAGGTCTTTTCCAACCTAATTGACTTTGTGATTATGCACAGCCCTTAATTCTAATATAGTAAGGAGTAAGTAATGTCTCCTGATGTCCTGATTCTAGCTGGGGCAGTGTTAACTTTTGCAGGTGCCAAGAGGGAGCATGGCTCATATGTGGAGGTTATTCTGTCCCAGCTCACATCATTGATCATTGACAGGAGCAGGCGAAAAGGGGTTTTTTCCTATGGAAAAGACGTGGAGGAGGGAGCCGACTGGTATTGTGTATTGTGAGCAGGGACAGGTTTCTTATCTCTTTGATTTCCCCATTATGTTGTTGTGCCTCTAATTCTCAACTCCATCCCAACGCAGCGGCAAAGATGAGGGGAAGGGGGAGTGAGAGAGCAGTGCGTGGCTCGGGAAGGTCTCAGTGGGGGTCCTGAACTGGGAAGTACCATTATTAAGCCATGACATCTGGGGAGAGCATGCAGAGGTCTGCTTTGAGGTACTGCTAACATCCCCTGGCTTTCGCTGAATTTTGCTGCTGAAGGTTTAGCTCACATGAACCGTTTTGCTGTTCTTTTAATTCCTTGGATTAAAGGAATTTTAAAAAATAATATTAAGACTGTGTTACATGCTAAGAGGATATGCCATTAGAGGGAAAACAGAAGAGGTGAAATTTAGTCCACAGACGTGCTTTACTTTGTTGGTGACCCTGTCCTACTCAAGCCCCTTTTGGTGAGTGGGTAATGGAAACGCTTCATTAGTTCCACTGAAACGAGTGGGTGCTGCACTTTTGAATATGTTACGTAGAAATAATGTGTGTAAATCCAAGTGCTGTGTTCATCTGTTTATGTGATAAGTTTCACCATCACTTAGACACACAGTCTCCTGTTCCCACATGGAGCAGGACCTGTAAACTTCCCCTGACGTGACAGTTTCTGGAGACCTGATGATGCAGAAGTGCACAAAGTTTATTTAACCTTCTACTTGCAGCTGCAAGTATTTCTTTCTTGGCAGTGCACAGTCTGAGACACAGAACCATATTTGCTGTGCCTATATACACCAAGATGTGTGTCAGTATTGAGTTTTTTCACTTTGAACAATGAGAAGGTAATGGGAGTGACAGTGGTTGTCCTTTTGATGCATTCCAGATTGTACAATTAACACATTTTATTGCTTTAGCTGCCTAGTCTGTTTTTAATGTAAGCTGTTGCTGAGTTGTTTGAAATTATTTACTTAAGGGCTTTAAAAGTGACCTTTTTATTTTAAATCCCCAGAGTTCCATAGTTGGTGTTTTTCTTCCTCAGGGCATATTTCATTTTTGAATAAACATGTTGTAAGTGCTACTAAGATGGCTGTAATGATCCTCTTACAAACTACTGTTTGTTTCTTTAGTGCTATGATGTTCTCAGCCGTGTGCACAGATGCATAATTATCAACACTCTGATTTAATGTAGCAAGAAGGGACTAATTTTAATCAATATACACGTGTCCATGTAAAAAAAAAAATGGAAAAAAGAATGTGCATTTTGTTGTAATCAGTCATTTAAAAAATCGTTTTTCTCACAGATGGCACTTTGGGAAGCCTAAGCCAACCATTCCTGCTGCATGCATGCCTGAATTGATTGCATTGTTCTGCGGAGCTGAGAGATTCTCCTTCCTGTTGGTCTGTCCCTGTGTGAAGCAGGACTTCACAGGATTAGAATGAGCCAGAAATTAAAGGAGGAGCCCCTCCCTCAAGTTTGGACATCCACTTGGAAACCTTTAGATCCCACTCCCACTTCAAGCGATTTGTGAGGGCAAGTGTTCCAGCTAAGAGCTTGCAGCTGGACACTGCCTTCGCTAAGATCAAGCTCTCCTCAGGCTCAGATTGTCAGGGCTATTTTCATGAGATGAAAGAAATCTTAATTAAGTGTTCATATCTTTGTCAGCCAGACTCAGAATAAAAATTGATGTGATTCCCTTGAGCTTCACTGCTTGTTATACTCTGCAAACGCTGCTTGTTATACTCAGCAACAAAGATACTGGGAAGAATAATGTGAATCTCATTTAACATCACAAAGAAGCTTTCCACAGCAGGAATAGCTGATGTGCAACTATTGAATTTGCATAAAAAAACCCTCTCCACTTTCTCCTCCCTAAAAAAAAAAAAAAAAAAAAAGGAAAAGAACGATTTAAAGAGAATGATGGCATTGTTTCTTGCACTTAAGGGAAGAGGTGATAGGGTAATGATTTTAGTCCTACCCTCTGTGAAAGATTCCAGTTCTTCCTTGCCACAAGCGGCCCAGATGACCTCAGGCAAGAGACTTCCTTCTCGCTGAGCCTTAATTCTCTCCTTTTTGCTAGTTCAAAGAGGATTTCTGAGGCTAAATGTATTAAAAACTCTGGGCTCAGCTTACAGTCATGACAGACCGAGCAAACTCTCAGAGAATCAGCGAGTACTAGTGGTAAAACTTCCTCACAAGCACCCCATGCCATGCAGGACCAAAGCATCCACAGCAGTAAGAGCAGGAAGCCATACACGGATCTGCAAGTCAGAAGCAGCTGCAAAAGAATGCTTGGGATTCCTTCACCAGCATGACGTTTTAACTCCTTCCCTCTCAGCAGGTAGGGAGGGTTTGATATCGAGGTGTTCCTCATTAGCCAAACTAGTCGGGCTTTCAAAGCCCATGTCTAGACAGGAGATTTGCACTTCTGTCTTGAGAGAGCCTGACAATGTTTTACCAAACACAAATTAGTTTTGGATAATCAGATTTTAATAAGGTGACAGCAAAACAGCTAGGATCAGGTAAATGAGAGACCAGGCTTCAACTTCTTCCAAAATTTCAAGTCCTGCACTTGCAAGATGTCAAAACAATGCAGCACTAAGACTGTTTTCTGCTAATTTTTGTAATACCGTATTTTCTCTCTTGTGCTGTTCTTATGCCTGTCCTTGGCTAGAAGATGGTGGCTGAATGCTGTAACCACACACTGAACTATAGCCAGGATGGCAATATTTTGAAAAACAAGGTGCTGTTCTGCTTCAGCATTTGCTGTGTTGTGTGAATGGAAATCTACAGACTCTGAACTGATAATCATATGCAATGTCAGGCAGAATTCGTATCACTTTAGAGTGAAAATATTGTCCTGATGGGGGCTGAGAAACAGAGGCACAGTGAGATGGACTGAGCTGACCAACACCACTACAGGTCAGTCAAAGTTACAGGAACATCTTGTCCATTGGCTTCTTTGCCAGGAGATAAAAGGTGCAGTGCAGGACATGTTGGAGCTCCTCCATCCAAGTGGAGGGCACTTAAGTATGAGGGCAGGAACACGCTACTGCTATTTTAGATTTTTTTTTTCCTATAACTTTATGCATGTGCCTGCTACTCTGAATTCTAAAAAAAAAAAAAAAAAAAAAAAAAAAAAAAAGAAAAAGAGAGAGAGAGAAATGGTTAGTTAGCTCTCAGATTCGGATATTTTCCATGCTGAGCAAACATTTTTAGACAAAAAAAAAAGAAAGTTTTTCCACATCACAGAGAAAACAGTATCTTTACATAGAAACTGCAATATAAAGTATACTGTATCCCTTTAGCAGAATTTAGAAAAATCTATAGAACTGGTGCAGAAGGTGTGAAAAATACCCAGGCTGAAAGTATGGATTGACTTTTGCTTCCTTAAAAAAGAAGAATGTACTAGAGTAAAAGCAATGCATTAACATATCAATGAGAGGAAAAAAACCTTCATATAAATTAGTCAGGGAGAAGCTTTCCTGTTGGTGACTCATACAGTGAAATCACAGGTATCCTGAAGTCAGCATTAACAAATTTTACCAACTTTTTCTCCAAGATGAATTTTGTAGGAAAACAGCCTAATTTGGAAGATCAGTGGTTTCTTGTAAAAAGGACTAGAAAGTAATAAGAATGTATCACAGTGAGTTTTGTGATTATTGAATTTTACTCTTGTTTACTGAATTAATCAACTTCATTTTGGGATTCCTAATGTAATGTTCCAAGCTTCTGTACTATTTGTTCTAGTTGGTTGCTGTTAACAATATGAATTATCTTTTACCAGTATGAGTCAGTTTAACTCAGTTCCAAACCTTTTAAACTCATAACAGATGGGTCAGAAAGTCAGGGTTAGAAAATAAGCTAAAATATGACAGCATGATATAAAGTTTCTCCAAACCCAGGGCTGTTTATGGGTTACTCACTGTATGCTCAGATTTTCTTAAAAAATCTTAAACACTGAATAAAAATTCTTCATTTAGAGAATCAAAATATTCAAAACTAAAAGAGCTGTGTTTCATTTATAGCAACCTCCACACAGTTGAGGAGCTATGAAAATATCTAAAAATAACATGATCTAAAATGGTACTTGCAATATCTCAGTGCTTTCACGTGAACAACAGTGAGCACTGGAAATGGAAAATCTCCTGTACTCACTGGCAGCCTCCCCCTTCCAGCCTCAGCCTGGACTTGCCCCTCCATGAATCTTGGCAGGGTGAGCAGGAGGAACCTGAGCACCTGAACACTGCCGCCTCAGGGAAGCAGGGAGTCACCTCCTAATGGCTGTGACTTCTTCACACGTGTGCTCCTTGCCTGGCTTTGCAGCTGGGACACCAGCAGGTGTCCAGGAGGAACACTGTGGCAGGAGACTGGTGCTGCCAGAAGAACTCGATGAAGCTGTTTACACAGAACCACCACGAAAGGAAAATTGCATGTACAAAAAGAATCAAAATCTGAGAGAAAACAGTGTTTGCCAAATTTCTGCTATTCTCTTGGTGGGATGACACAGGCCAGCAGGTGTCCAGGAGGAACACTGTGGCAGGAGACTGGTGCTACCAGATGAGCTCGATGAAGCCATTTAGCGTGAGGCCCTGCAAGGTGTGCTGCACAGAACCACCACCAAAGGAAAATCGTGCGTACAAAGAGAATCAAAGTTTGATAGAAAATAGTGTTTGCCAAATTTCTGATATTCCCTTGGTGGGATGACACGGGGGTCAATTTTGCAGTGGCCTTTTCCCCAGAAGACACAGAGTTGTTTCTGAGATCAATGCATTACAGTGTCTGTTCAGTCAGTACGGGAGGATCTTTCCTTTGCAAGAACACCTGCAGGGCTGAATGTCAGGGATGGCACATACTAGAAAGTTCATTTTACCTTGAAAAGATCCCTGGGCCTTGGTCTCATTCAGTACAATCAAAGAAGGACAAGGTTTCCTATATCTGATTTTTATGGCCCATGACTTAAAAACCCTCTCTCACAACATCCAGCTACCCTTAGAAAATACTCAGCACTACAGAGTAGCCCATATTGTACGCATAGTAAAGAAATTATTTCCTGCCAGGCAATTAGCATGTCTACCTGCTAGTCAGCTTGTGCACATGTTGGCTGTGCCACCGATCTCCACATTGGGTGGGACCTTGATAATTATAGACAATTACAGTTATGGATAATTATGGAACAGCAGGCCAAATTCCTCTCTATGGTTGCCTGTCTTTACCCTGGCAGTGTTACACCATGGTTTGAGTGTCAAACTTCAGCCTCTACATCTGCATCCTGCTGTCTGCCTGCAAGTAAACACAACTTTGTAGGTCAGGAGCTTGTCAGTTACATAATCAGCCACATCTTAATGCCTATGGATTTATCGCATCTGGACATGGCTCTTTTATTAGGGATATAGACAATCTTCCCCCTTCAAGAGCTGCCCACAAGAAAGAGCATCATTAGAAAAATAGAGCAGACTGAGTTTAAGAGAAAGTGTAAACTTAAAGCCATGCATTTCATCATTTACAGCTGCTGCTGCAACAATTAATTGCTTGCCCTTAACGAGATCATAGATGTTTGCCAGCCACACTTCATCCCACATCCCACACTGTGGCTGCACCAGAGGCTCGATTTCCAGCTGCTGGGCCATTTGCAGGCATGTGGAGAGCTTTTGGCTGTTCCTAAGGCAAGTGCCCCTCAAGCAGCTAATGAATTGCTGAGGGAAAATGCAGGGAGTGCCAGCTGGACCTGACCCATGAACTGGCAATTAGACTACACTGAGTTATTGAATGACCAGAGAGAGCTACTCTCTATTTACTCTTCTAAGGAATAACATTCAGTTATAGCTCAAGCAGTGCTTCAGCATGTTGGGGGGATGTTGAATCTTCTGTCTGAAGATTTTCAATAGTCTCCAGCTAGCAAAGATCAGAGACTGGGAGAATGCACACATCCAGCACACCCAGTTAAGCCTCCTGAAGCCAGGAGCAGCAGAGCAGGCTGATGATCTGCACAGCCTCTGTCCTAAAAGCACAGAAACCAGGGATTCACCTGAACATGTGGTGATGAAGGGGAGTTTCTTCAGGAACTCAAAGGTTGTCTGATTTTCAAAGCAACTGCAGAGACCATTTATTAAGCTGTGTGATGGTTTTTCAGCCTCTGACAAATGGGAAGTGAAAGAATGGAAGTTGACAGAGTTGCTTAGAGCTTTGTGATCTGATTTGGTTGTTTTTGTAAATTCAGTTCTCTCACTGTGCATCCCTGGGAGCCTGTGCAGCAGCACTGCTGGGGGACATGGTACAGGAAGACTCCAGGCACTGCCACAGCCATATCAAACAAGCAACAACCAACATACCCTTTCCTAACTGCTGACAAAAGAGATTAATCACACAGCCATGCTGTACATTGCTACCTAATTTACCCTGAAAGGTACTTTTCAATTATTTAGGAAAGCCTATGATCAAGAACATTTAGCTGTAGAAGTGTATTCTTTTTTGCCTACATTAGAGAGTGATATTAAATAATGTGCTGCTGTAAACTATTGAGCCCATCTCTCTATTACTTTGATGAATTCCCAGGGGTGAAACAGTGAAGTCAGAAGGAAAATGCAACCTTCAGACACTACTGAAGTCAGGAAGAGGGGTATTTGACACAAAAACAGTAATATCATTTGTGCTGCTTGTCATCAGCACCTCAGTCAGCTTGTCAGCGTTATAAGTCTGGATTGTTATTTCATCCCAACAACAAAAGAGTGTCACTAGGATTTCCTAAACATTGAAGAGTTCAGATGAAGGGAATCTCTTAAAAAAATTATAGTACCTCAAAAAAGCTTGAAAATTGAATGGTTCTAGCAAAAAACATGTGCTCTTACTCAAACACATACAAATTAAATAAAATACCTCATGAGTGTTGGGCTTT